CCCCACAACGTCACCCCTACACCCCACATCGTCACCCCTACACCTCACATCGTCACCCCTACACCTCACATCACCCTGCACCCCACAACGTCACCCTATACCCCACATTGTCACCCCTGCACCCCACATCGCCAACCCAGCACCCCACATCGTCACCCCTGCACCCCACATTGTCACCCCTGCACCCCACAATGTCACCCTACACCCCACATTGTCAACCCATACCCCACTTCGTCCCCCCCACACCTCTACACTTGCACAGTTGGTTGATACTTCAAAGGCAACTTGAATAAAACCAAATGCATTTTTCTCCAAGTTACCTCTTGATTTCTGCTCTATTCTGTGCTCGCGATAGCATATTCTCCGCCATGCTTTCAACCAGAATTTGTCATTTTGGAGTCCTAACTTCCTCCTGCCCCATAACGTGTCTTTACAGCAGGATGTTTGCCCCATGTTTAATCTTTCCACTCCGCTCCTAGAAATGAAAAGAATGGCCTCCTTGACAGTGCCCTTCACCAGTTCCCACAACTGCGTTATCCAGCTAGACTGCGGTTGACTTTCTGGGGACACAGCTCGGAGCCTATTGGTGCCTGACCTCAGGGAACTCTGGTCCCTGACCTCAGGGAACTTTTTATGTCTGGCGTTCCCCACCAGAGGCCGCATTTACCTAGCCTAATCTCCCACGCATTCTCTCGCAGCGCCACAGACACCTGTACCCACCACACGCCAGGCGCTGTGACTGTCATTCCATACATCCAGGTCTCTCAGTGAGCTTGTGGCTGTGGCTTGGTGCTGTTTGTCCCTGAGGGTTCGTGTGCTAGGGCAGCAGTTCTCAGCCTGCAGGTCATGACCCCTTTGGGGGTGGAAGGATCCTTTTACAGGCGTCACCTAAGACAAGAAAACACAGGTATTTACATTGTGATTCATAACAGTTGCAAAATTACAGTTATGAAGTAGCAAGGAAAAGAGTTGTAAGGTGGGGGGCCAGCACAACGTGAGGAACTGTATTAAAGGGTCTCATTATTAGAAAGGTTGAGAACCGCTGAGCCTGAAGCTTGGTCCCCAGTGCAGCAGTAATAGGAAGCAATGGAACTTAAGACAGGACCAGCAGCAGGCATGTTCAACCTTCTTACACTGTGACAGACATTTCCATCTGTGAGCTTCATACTTGAGAACTGGACAGCCAAGTTACCAGGAAAAAAAATAATCTCAGTGTTGTCGATAAGGTTATGATTCTGTGATGCATTCCTAGCTGCCCTGTTCTCAGAATGTGATGCCGCAGAGCCATAGGTGTGCTTGCTTCTACATGTGACATTTCCTTCCTGCTTCCTAAAGAACCCTGCAGAGGCCAGACCGACCTTGGCCTTCAGACTCGAAACTGTGAACTGAATAAACTCTACTGTCTCATCACCGGGCATCCAGCACTTGTTATACCAACAGGAAATAGAGAAGAATCATGGCTGCAGCTACATGGGAGGCTAAGGTAGAGGAGTCACTTCAGCCCAGCGGGTCAGGACCAGCCTGGGCACATAAGGAGACCCCGCCATCAAAAAATAAAATGGTAAATACTCTGAAAACTGTCTCTTATGGCCACGTTCTTGCAGAGGAGAAAAGTGGAATTTGTAATAACTCACCCAGGATCTCAAAACCAAATGAGGACGCTAAGGTATGAACTGATGGCTTTCTAGCTCCCTGGATGAGAGCCAGCTGAGAGCAAAGGATGTGTTAGACATGGCAGCCCACAGAGACGACTCCACAGCCAGGAGCCAAGACTTGTACCGTGGCTCAGGGGGTGAATGCACTTGTCACCCAAGCAGAAGGCCTGAGCTCAAAATCTGACTCTCATATGAAAGACTGTACCCTAAGCTGTCCTCTGCCCGTCACACGCATGCTGTGGCACGCACAGCTGCTCACACACGTGTGCACACTACATCATCACCAGCGAGATCCACACGGTGACTGAACAGATGGTTCAGGGACAGCCTTTGGACAGATCGGGGAGCTGGGACTGTCCCTCACTTGGGCACATCCAGAAGCTGTGGGTGGGACTTATCACAGTCACCTGTGGACGCTCTGCTCTGGAACTCCAAGTGCATGCGGTGAAGAGGAGGGGGCCTGGAGCGGACTTCCTGTGTGGTAGCTGAGTGTCAGCAGCTCATTGCCCGCTGCAGGAACTTTCTGAAGTTGAAAATCAAGAGGCTCAGCAGCCAAGAGTGGCAGTTCGTGCCTGTACCCTACTGTTCAGGAGACAGGGTATCACTGTCCATTTGAGGCCAGCCTTGGCTACATAGTAAGTGCCCAGATGGTCTAGCATAGAGTAAGACCCTGTCTGCCTGATTGCTAGGCACAGTTGTAGTGTGAGCCACACAGATATATGTGTGTGTGTGTGTGTGTGTGTGTGTGTGTGTGTGTGTGTATACACACACACACATATACCTGTGCTATGGAGAAAACAGACTCACGGGGCTGGGACCAAGGGAGCAAGGACTGAACACATGCCACTTCACACTGCCTGATCCAGGCTTCACCACCCAAGGGAGCCGAGAGCGAGAGACCCTCTCCCTCACAAAGTTGTCATGTCCATACCCTAGGATTGGCAATCCCCCAGAAGCCATTGACTAAAGGGATGGAAATCCCACAACGCACAGTGGTGTGTGTCTACTATCCCAGCACTCAGGAGGGGGAGGCCAGCCCAGACTACAAAGGGTGTTCCAGGCCAGCCTGAAACACACCGAGAAACTCAAAGACAGGATAAGGCTGGCGGGATGGCTCAGTAGGCATGGTGGGTGGGATGAGAATGGCTCCCAGGGGCTCCAATGTGTGATCCAAGTCATGAGGGCCTAGAAATGTTTGAGAAGGATTAGGAGGATTAGGATTAGGGGGTGTGGTCTTGTGGGGGAGTGGGGCGGGGGGAGCTGTGTCACTAGGTGTGAGCACTGAGGTTTCAAAAGCCTACAGGCCCAGTCAGAGACGTGCTGAAACTCTGCTGGTAAGCCACGACCTCATGGCGATACACGGATTAATAGAGATGGGTTAAATTAATATGTAAGAGTTAGCCAATAAGAAGCTAGGGCTAATGGGCCAAGCACTGCTTTAACTAATACAGTTTCCGTGTGACTATTTCGGGGCTGAGCAGCAGGGAACCAACTAGCGGCCTCCTTACTACAATGTGGAATCCGGCTTGAATCCTAGACCAGAATAAAAGGACGCTAATGGGAAAACGGGTGAAATCTGGAGCCTACAGTTTAGTTTCATCCTTGACACTGACAGGATTGAGTTAGGATTGATCAATCCATGGTTGTGCAAGATGTCAACATTGGTGGAAGCTGGGAGAGGTGAGAAAGAACTCTCAGGACTATTTCTGCAACTCTTCTGTAAGTCTATCATGATTTCAGAGTACATGTTAGAGCACGGCTTTCCCCTCCATTTCATCAGCCCTTCTCTTTCTGCCCTAAACAGTTACGTAGCTGTACGTGAGTTACTTTAGCTCGCTCAGTCCCTGTGTTTCACCTATGAAAAATAATAATAGGGGAGGGAGGGAACGGATAGCTCAATAAAAACTATAATGAAGAAGGAGGAGGAGGAGGGGGCACTTGTGGTGCACATCTTTAATCCCAGCACTCAGAAGGCAGTGGCAAGCAGAAGTTTAAGGCCAGCCTGGTCTACAAAGTGAGTTTCAGGACAACCAGGGCTACACAGAGAAACCCTGTCTTGAAAAAACAAAATTAAATGAAATGCAAGCCTGGCGTGCTGATGGACACATGCAGTCTGCTACACAGGGTGCTGAGGCTGGAGGATCTGGCTTTGGAGGCCAGCCTGGACAACTGAGATAGGCTCTCATCCTGAGCCAGCAAGATGGTTTAATGGGTAAAGAGCTTGCTGTGCAGACCTAATGGCCTGAGTTCGACTCCAGAATTCATCATATAAGGAAGGGCACAAGGGGTGAACGAACTCTACAAGGTTGCTCTGACTACATAGAATCCACCATGGATGGCATGCACCCATGTACATATTCTTAAAGAACATGGGCAAGAGAGATGACTTGGCAGTTAAGGAAGCACACTCTTCTTGCAGAGGACCCAGATTCCATTCCCAGCATCCACGCAGTGGCTCACAACCATCTGTAACACCAGTCCCAAGGGATCAGCTGGCTTCTTCTGACCTCTGCAGACGTGCATGCACCTGGCACGCACAGACATACATTCAGGGAAACACTACTACACATAAAATAAAAATCGTTTAAAATAAATATTGCAAAAACAAAACAACAAAAACTCCCAACCTCAAATTTTCAAAGGAGGAACACAAGCTAAATAGGTTTCCAGGTGCCTCCCCCCAACATCCGCAGCCTGGGCGCTCAGTTGCCTCCCCCTACACCCCCAGCTCTGACGCTCGCCTCCCCCGCGCACCCCCGACTCTGATCCCAACACAACTCGGTTTGCTAGGCATCTCCACATCCCTGGACCACCCGGCACCAGTAAATATTCAACACAAGTTCCTGGAGCTAAAACTCCATTCCCCCCCCCCCCCCCCCCCCCCCCCCCCCCCCCCCCCCATGAGACACAACTTGCATCTCTTTTACCTTCTTGGCTACTGGAAAGCAAAGCGAAGTGCTCACCAAACTTTCTACACTACATGTAAATCCGCCTTCACCCAGCAGAGGAGAGTTGTCCTTTACAATCAGAATATGCAGAAGTGAGCGTCTGCGTGGAGGAGGGAGGCCATATCCAGAGAGGGTCTGGGGGTGCGGCATGAACAGGACACATAGCTTCCAGATGAGCCCCCAGAGCCCATCCCTCACCCCCCGTTCCCCCCACCCCACCCCTGTCCACCTTCCCTCCAGCATTCAAGGGTTTCCAAAGTCAAAACCCCTTCCGTGGATGGAGCTGAAAAAGGGTGAGCCCCACTCCCACCCCATCAGCAGGGGTGAGGTGTCCCCACAGTCATAAACAGTAAACACCCTAGCAGAGAGAAGCCGGCTACGGAAGAGGTAGGGAACAAGATGCAGTTGGATTGAGCTGGCTTCCCACAGCCCTTTCCTAGCAGATTTTGGCCCGGGGGGTGGGGGGGGGAGATAGTATCCCGACCTGGTCAAGCAAAGCCAAAGGGCCCGCTGTGAAGAAATTATCCCCCGTCTATAAATAACTCCCCCTAGGGGGACAAACAGAAACACCAAAGCCAGGCTGGGCAAGCCGGCTAGCTCCTGGGGGACCAGAAAGGGAGTGGGTCCCCAGCGGGAGCCACCTTCAGCTGGCAGCACTTACCTTTAAGGCCCCGGCGTCCCCGGTCCCTCACGAGCGTTCCTGGCGCATGCTGCCGCCGGCAGCCCTAGGACCGGTAGCAGTCAGCCAAGTGCACCGGAGAGGGGCGGTGCGTCTTCACCAACCACAACGCAGGTGGCAGCCTCGTGAGCAGGAACCGACCACGGGAAAGGGCCAAATCCCTGCAGCCCCAGGTCCTGGCCACACCCCAGCCAGGCTCAGGCAGTGCCAGGGCTACCTCTGGCCACTCTCGGCAGAGACCTCAGACACCGCCAGGGCCCGCTGCACACAAGATAGCTCTCAGAAGTGTGGCCTGCCCCACAGCGGGGCGAAGAGTCCCTATTTGTCCTTTAGGGTTGCTGGTCTCAGAGGTCAAAATGTCACCTCCCTGTGGAAGCCTGCAGTACCCTAGCCCTGTGATGGATTGCTTTTGCACCTGTGCCTGCGTGCCTTGGTCGAGCACCCTCTGGGATGGACACTAGGGCAGTTTCCCCGGGGAAATAATAAACCCTGTGAGAGAAAGACTGCAGATCAGTCCCTCTAGAGAAGTTACTCCTCCCTCCTCTCAGTTGACAGGGGAGGGAGGGTCTGATTTCTCAATACTTATTCTCCACCTTCCCTTCTCACCTTAAGCATGGGGAGGCCTGAGAGGGTCTTGATTCTGACCTCTGAATCCTGAATCCTTCATTTTCAGGTCTACAGTTTCGAGACGTCCCCCCCACCCCTTACGTTTCCAGACTCGAGAACTTTGTATGCTACTCCCACTGGGCACTGAAACTAGAGTGTCAGACACCCTGGGAACACTGCTGCTGCACGCACGCACACGCATGCATGCACGCACACGCACGCACAGGCACACACCTTCATGCTATTATTTTTACTAGGTTGGCTGGATAGCCGTGAACCTTCACGGAGCCTCCTGTCTCAGCCTCCCATTAGCTGTGATTGCAGAACTGTGCAGCCAGCTCTTGTACAACATATACCATTTATTCTGGGTGTGACACAGATTGGCACCTAATATTAACTAAAACACGGGGGGTGGGGGGATAATGAGACAAGGAAGCATGCTGACCTCCAGGACCTTATGCTCCAGGAAAGTCTCCATGACTCCTGTCCCTACTGGGGTACTCGGTGCCACTGAAGTTCAGGGGTCACTAGAATCAGCGTCCTCAAAACAGACAGTCCTCCACCTGAGGGTTCTGTGGTTCGCTCAACCCTTCTCCAGCACTTGCCCATCTCTTGCCAATGCCTGCTCACACAGTGTGAGAACCGTCCTTGCAACTGCTTAGAATACACGCACCCTTATTAATGTTGATTGGTTTTTGTGCAAGTACAAACAAGCGCAGACACTGTGGAGATCAGTGTGGCAAACCCTCAAAACACACAACAAAACCCACAGAAGTAGATTAGCCATATGGCCCAGCTATACCACTCCCAGACACAACCCAGGACTCTACTTCCTGCTCCAGAGACACAGGTTCACCCATGTTCACACATCCTTAAGGAACAATAGCGAGAACAGAGAAACTGGTTAGGTATCTGCCGTCTGGGGAATGAATGACGAGGATGTGGCATATATACACAATGGAATTTATTCAGTGTAAAAAAAAATGGGATCTGCAGGTAAGTGGACGGAGCTGGAAGACATTATACCGAGTGAGTAACCCAGACCCACAATGACAGACACCAAGTTCTCACTCACATGTGGATCTTAGCGTCAGATCTTTACATTTGTGTGCCCGGGGTACATCTAGACCAGGAAACTAGAAAGGGACCATTGGTGGGGACTGAATAATGACCTTAAGTGGGGAGGGACAGTAGAATACAGGTGATGTGGAGGGGAGGACTGTGGGGAGGACAGTAGGATACAGGTGATGTGGAGGGGAGGACTGTGGGGAGGACATTAGAATACAGATGTGGAGGGGAGGACTGTGGGGAGGACAGTAGGATACAGGAGATGTGGAGGGGAGGACTGTGGGAAGGACCGTAGAATACAGATGTGGAGGGGAGGACTGTGGGGAGGACATTAGAATACAGATGTGGAGGGGAGGACTGTGGGGAGGACAGTAGGATACAGGTGATGTGGAGGGGAGGACTGTGGGGAGGACCGTAGAATACAGGTGATGTGGAGGGAGGACTATGAGGAAGGAGGTTTAGCTGGAGAGGGATGGAGATGTAAAGCTGAGAAGGAGATAGGGAATGGGAAATAACGCTAAGGATATTTGGAAAACCCAGATGAAACCTATTGTTTCATGTGTACTCATTACTTTTCTCTTGCTGTGATAGAACATCATGTCTTTGACTCCAAGTATGAAGCAAACGGTGAACGGGAAGTGGGTGAGGCTATAATGACGTCTCAAAGCCCATCCCCACTTCATCCAGCAAGATCACACTTTTTAAACCTCCCAAAACAGCGCCACTATCTGGGCACCATGTGTTCAAATACATGAGCCTATGAGGGACATTTCTCATTCAAACCACCACAGTAAGCTTCGTGTGTGTGTGTGTGTGTGTGTGTGTCTTCCTCCTGAAGCCATAGGTTGGCAAATTAAAACCCCAGTGCCCGTTATGGACACCTCCCTTTGAGGTTAGAAGTGTTCCAGAACCCCCAAAATAGCACATGCTATTGCTGCTGTTCTTGACTGACCCTCAGAACTCGGTGGTAAGACCCTATTGCTGAAGACAACACACATAGTGGTCACCAGACACGGAGAAATCAGGTTTATTCCTGCTAGCTAGCTAGCTTTCACCTGCTAGGAGGTGCTAAGGAGGCCGCATGGAGGAAATTCGTGAATGATCTCCCCAGCGTCGAACCCTGCAATCTGTAATAATGAACATCATGACAAGACATGCCCGTGCAGGAGCCGGTGCCTCAGATGTCATGACAAGACATGCCCGTGCAGGAGCCGGTGCCTCAGATGTCATGACAAGACGTGCCCGTGCAGGAGCCGGTGCCTCAGATGTCATGACAAGACGTGCCCGTGCAGGAGCCGGTGCCTCAGATGTCATGACAAGACGTGCCCGTGCAGGAGCCGGTGCCTCAGATGTCATGACAAGACGTGCCCGTGCAGGAGCCGGTGCCTCAGATGTCATGACAAGACGTGCCCGTGCAGGAGCCGGTGCCTCAGATGTCATGACAAGACGTGCCCGTGCAGGAGCCGGTGCCTCAGATGTCATGACAAGACGTGCCCGTGCAGGAGCCGGTGCCTCAGATGTCATGACAAGACGTGCCCGTGCAGGAGCCGGTGCCTCAGATGTCATGACAAGACGTGCCCGTGTAGGAGCCGGTGCCTCAGATGTCATGACAAGACATGCCCGTGCAGGAGCCGGTGCCTCAGATGTCATGGATGTGACTAACCACGTTCTGGCTGGAGTTAAGTAAGCCCATCTCCACAGGAGGAGACGCATGCCTGGTACTGTGACTCTCGCCCAGAAGCCTGGGTTGAGAGCTCACAGCCCCAGGAGCGAAGGTCTTGCCATCATCATGCCAAATGGAAGCAGTATCGAGCCACCCTCCATTCTTCCTCTACACCATAGATGGGAGCAGCCCCAGACCTCAGGGAAGCTTCCTTCTGCAGTGTATGGCTGTTAACACAAAATTCACAGGTGCTCACAGTGTAGCGAGTAGGTGCAGTGGAGTGCTCTGTCACAAATGTGACGTCGACACCACACACACACACACACACACACACGCTCAAGTCTGAAGTGTACTTACACACCGGACCTGAGAGATAATAGTAGTAATTAAGGCTGCAATAAAACATTGTGAGGAGCTGGAAAGATGCTCAGCAGTAAAAGGCACTGCCTGCTATTTCAAATGACCCAGGTTCAATTCCCAGCGCAAACATGGTGGCTCACAACCACGTAACTCCAGTTCCAGGGGACTCTCTGGCCTCTACAGGCACACAAGCGGTACACAGACATATATGTTGGAAAAACACATAAAATAAAAAATAAATAAATCTTTGAAAAGCAAACAAGAAGCTGTGGCTGCAGCAGCTATGCAAGGAAACCTGGACTACTTGGAAGCAGCAACCAATAAAAGTGACATATGAATGTTTCTCATACATGGTGACAGTGCGGAAACACAAATGTGCACATGCTTCCGACATTGCACACTCACACACGCCACACTTTCCTCCAAAATATCAGCACTGACACACATTCCCATTATCAGTGATTTTTGTTTTTAACACATATTTTTAGGGCTTTCTCTCCGGTTCGGGTTTGAGATGTCTACAGATTTTCACAGCTGCTTTGGAGACAGATGAATCTCTGCGCACAAAGCTTCACACCGTGGTGCTTGGGAAAATCTCGTGGCAGTGCACCAGCTAATTACAAACACCTCATTGTCCAAGCTCTAAATTTAGGTCAGAGCAGGCCGTGGGATAGTGGCAGGAACGTTAATAACCTGAAGAGTCTGATGTAAGTTGGGGGTGGGGCCTTCCTAGTAATACAAGGCTCCTTTGCACAAAGCGTGTGCCTGCGTACAGGGCGTACGGCTATGTGCAGTACAGGGAGCACAGATACACGCAGTACAGGGAGCACGGCTATGTGCAGTACAGGGAGCACAGATACACACAGTACAGGAAGCACGGCTATGTGCAGTACAGGGAGCACGGCTATGTGCAGTACAGGGAGCACGGCTATGTGCAGTACAGGGAGCACGGCTATGTGCAGTACAGGGAGCACGGCTATGTGCAGTACAGGGAGCACAGATACACACAGTACAGGAAGCACGGCTATGTGCAGTACAGGGAGCACGGCTATGTGCAGTACAGGGAGCACGGCTATGTGCAGTACAGGGAGCACGGCTATGTGCAGTACAGGGAGCACGGCTATGTGCAGTACAGGGAGCACGGCTATGTGCAGTACAGGGAGCACGGCTATGTGCAGTACAGGGAGCACGGCTATGTGCAGTACAGGGAGCACAGCTACACACAGTACAGGGAGCACAGCTATGTGCAGTACAGGGAACATGGCTATGTGCAGTACAGGGAGCACAGCTACGTGCAGTACAAGGAGCACGGCTATGTGCAGTACAGGGAGCACGGCTATGTGCAGTACAGGGAGCACAGCTACACACAGTACAGGGAGCACAGCTATGTGCAGTACAGGGAACATGGCTATGTGCAGTACAGGGA